ATGTAATACTGGTTTGGTGGTGATGAACTTCCTTAGCTTTTTCTTATCTGTGAAGCTTTTTATCTGACCTTCAGTTCTAAATGAAAGCTTTGCTGGGTAGCGTAATCTTGGTTAAAGGTCTTTGCTATTCATCACTTTGAATATTTCTTGCCACTCTCCTCTGGCCTGCAAAATTTCTGTTGAGAAATCAGATGACTGTCATATGGGTGCTATCTTATAGGTTCATATAGGTAACTAATTACTTTTCTCTTGCTGCTTTTAAGATTCTCTCTTTGTCTTTAACCCTTGGGCATTTTAATTGATAATGTCTTGGTGTGGGCCTCTTTGAGTTCATCTTGTTTGGGACTCTGTATGCTTCCTAGAGTCTATTTCTTTTACCAGGTAAGGAAAATTTTCTGGCATTGTTTTCTCAAATAGGTTTTCAATTTCTTACTCCCTCTCTTTTTTTCCGGCACACCCATGATACAAATGTTGGGATTCTTGAAGTTGTCTCAGATGATCCTTATACTATCTTCATATTTTTGGATTCATTTTTCTTTTTGCTGTTCTAATTGGGTGCTTTTTGCTTCCTCATATTCCAAATTGCTGATTTGATTCTCAGCATTCTCTACTCTACTATTGATTCCCTGAAATTATTCTTCATTTCAGTTAGTATACCCTTTATTTCTGACTCGTCTTTTTTCATGTCTTTGATGTTCTTACTAATTTCTTTGAAATTCTCACTAAGTCCCTTGAAGCTCTCACTATAACCATTGTGATCATGAGGAAAGAGACAACATCATTATAACCATTGTTTTGAACTCTGTATTTAATAGTTTACTTGCTTCCATTTCATTAGTTCTTTTTCTGGAGGTTTCTTTTGTTCTGTCATTTGTGACATGTTTCTTCGTCTCTGCATTTTGGCTGCTTCCCCGTGTTTATTTCTATGTATTAGGTAGAGCTATTATGTCTCCTGGAATTGTTAGAGTGGCCTTGTGTAGTAGGTGTCCTGTAGGGCCCAGTGGCTCAGCCTTCCCAGTCACCTGAGCTGGGCATTCTAGGTGCACCTCTATGTGGGCTGTGTGCACTATCCTGTTATAGTTGAGCCTTGATTGCTGTTGGTGTCGCTGGAATTGATCCCCAGACCAATTGGCTGTGAGGATCAGCTGCAACTACAATGGAAGAGCAGCTCTGCAGGAGACACCCCTATGGAGCAGGACTGCTTCAGTGGAGCTTTAGTGCTCACTGAGTCTGCCCCTTGAGTGTGTCGCTCATGGATGTATAGTTATAATCTGGCATGGTCTGAGGCTGGGTGCACTGGCTCTGGGGTCCTCCCCTGGAGGTGCAAAATCAGCCACTGTCTGTACCCTGCCTGGGGCTACCCATCAGGAGCTGCAGAGTGATCTACAGGTAGCTGCTACTTGTGTTAGGATTGGAAGTGCTCAGGAAAGGCCAACCTGAGAAGCAAGGCAGGCTGCTGCTAGGACTGGGCCTTAGGCCTCTTATTGAGATGTATGGGGCACGCTGAAGCCAGCTGCTACTTGTGTGAGAGATTTTAGGAAAGTCTGGAGCCTGAACCATAACAGGCCATTCATATGGAAAAGCCGCTGCAAACAGCTTAGGTCGGGTGGTGTTTCATAGAATCACCAGGTAGAATCAAACTGTGAGAGCCAAGTTGAATGGAGACTCAGATATGGCACCTGGCAGTCAGCTCTGCAGCAGAGGAGGTCTCAGCATAATAACAATGACCCTTGTGAGTACCCCTGTCTGGGAGAAAGCCACCCCTGAGTTCTTGCTCTGATGTTAGATAATCCAGTTCCTCCCCATATGTTCCTGGATCCCCCCAAGCCACTGCCTGGGTCTCCAGCACCAGCCCTTTAAGAGGAACTGCCTGGGTCTCCAGCATCAGCCCTTTAAGAGGAACTGCTTGGGTCTCCAGCAGCTTCCATGTCACTTAGCCACAATCCCCAATGGTTTTTACAGCCCAAAGTTACAGGGACTTCTCTTGCTGGTATTGGAACCCTGGGTTGAGGGGTCTGGTGTGGGCTAGGACACCTTGCTCCTCACGGGAGGCTTCCGCAGCCGAGATACTCCTCCCAATTAAAAAAACACCACACGTTGGTGTTGGATCAGCCCATTCCATGCCTCCACCCCTCCTACTAGTCTCAATGTACTTTCTTCTTTACTTCTCTAGTTGTAGGACTTCCATTCAGCCAGATTTCAGGTGGTTCTAAATGATGATTGTTCTGTATTTTAGTTGTAATTTTGATGTTGTTGTGGGAGGCGTCAAGTACCAGTAACCTACCCTACTATCAATGATCACCTGTGGGTTTATTTTTTTTAATCCTCACCTGAAGATAGGTTTTTATTGATTTTAGAGAGAAAGGAAGGGGAAGAGAGATAGAGAGAAATATTGGTCAGTTGCCTCCCATATGCACCTTGACCGTGGATCGAACCCACAAGCAAGATATGTGCCCTGACCAGGAATTATACCCACCATTTTTTTGGTGTTTGGGACAACACTCCAACCAATTGACCCACCTGGCCAGGGTGAGCTTTCATTTTCTTATCTGTAAAATGGAGATAATAAAATCTTTCTTAAACAGACCTATACATATAACTAGATAACTACTATCATACTTGAAATACAGTGCAATAAACTGAACCTTCATAAATGTGACTTGTTATGAAGTATATCAGTTAGAATTTACTTTGTCTACAAAGTAATAGAAAACCTGACTAGCCATTGCTAAAACTAAAATAGGGTGTTACTTTATTATCTAACAAGAAATCTGGAGGAAATTGGCTGTAGGGATTGACTTCTCTGTGATTTTTTTTTTTTTTGTCTCTTTCCTCATGATCACAAGGTGGCTGCCACAGCTTCAAACATCTTATCAGCACACCAATGTCCTTAGCAAGAAGAAATGGGCAGGTGAAAGGGAATTTCCTCTTATAAGGGATAAATCTGTCCCAGGAGTCCTCCCCAAGCTGAATTCCCTTTCACATCTCCTTGCCTGAACTAGTCACATGGCCAGCTGTAGGGACAACTTGGAAAGCAACATCTAGGGAAGTAGAATTAAATGGACAAGATTGGCTTGACTAAAGGTTTTAAACCCTGACTACATGTCACAATCACCTGAGTGGTATTAAAAATGTGTGTGTGTGTGTGTGTGTGTGTGTGTGTGTGTGTGTAAGTATACACATATATAAGTGTATGTATACATACATACATATATGCCTGGGCCCCACCACAGACCAATTGAATCAGAACCATTGATTGTGAATTTTTTTTTAGGTGTCCCTACTTTGTTTTTATTCTAACTCAGCGGTTCTCAACCTGTGGTTCGCGACCCCTTTGGCGGTCGAACGACCCTTTCACAGAGGTTGCCTAAGACCATCCTGCATATCAGATAGTTACATTACGATTCATAACATAGCAACATTACAGTTATGAAGTAGCAACGAAAATAATTTTATGGTTGGGTCACAACATGAGGAACTGTATTTAAAGGGCCAGAAGGTTGAGAACCACTGTTCTAACTGAATAACATTTTTAGGAGAGAGAGGAGGGACACAAGACCCACACCGCATGTGCCCTGACCAGGAATCAAATCCATAACCTTTTGGTTCCTGGATGAGCCTGAAGCTCTGCTCATTCTGCAGGCCTTGAAAGAGCATTATGTATGTCTTCCCAGCTTCCAGAATGAAAGTTTTCTTGGTGGTATCTGTGATTGTGATTTTGTCAAGAAACCAGATTGAGCCCTAGCCAGTTTGGCTCAGTGGATAGAGTGTCAGCCTGGGGATTAAAGGGTCCTGGGTTCGATTCCGATCAAGGGCACATACCTCAGTTGCAGGCTCCTCCCTGGCCCTGGTCAGGGCATGTGCAGGAGGCAACTAATTGATGTGGCTCTCTCATGTTGATGCTTCTCTCTGTGTTTCCCTCTCTCTTCCACTTTCTCTAAAAATCAATGAAAAATAGCCTCAGGTGAGGATTAAAACATAAATTAAAATAAAATAAAATGGTAATAAAAAATTTTTTTAAAAAAAGAAAGAAACCAGATTAAAAATGAGTGCCACAGCCCTAGCTGGTTTGGCTCAGTGGATAGAGCGTCGGCCTGCAGACTGAAGGGTCCCGGGTTCGATTTCGGTCAAGGGCATGTACCTCGGTTGCCGGCTCGATCCCCAGCTCTCTCATCATTGATGTTTCTATCTCTCTCCCTCTCCTTTCCTCTCTAAAGTCAATTTAAAAAATTTAAAAAATGAGTGCCACAGTTGAAGACCCAAGTCTTCATGTACTGATGGCCAGAGAAGCAAGTGTTTTACATAAGAGCTCATGGTGTTATGTTTACATATAATATTGTAATAACAGTGAGAGTGTCCATTTGAATGCCTACCTCTTACTCCCTGACATAATCCATTTCCCATTAAAATGCCAACTCCATGAAATAAGAGTCTTTGTTTTGTTCACTCTACCTAGAACAGGGCTGGCACTTAGGAGGCACTGAGTCAGTATCTGTTAAAACAAATAAAGTTATGCCCGGACAGCATGGCTCAGTGGTTAAGCATCAACCTATGAACCAGAAGGTCACTGTTTGATTCCCAATCAGGTCACATTCCTAGGTTGCGGGCTTCATCCCCCAGTAGGGGGCATGCAAGAGGCAGCTGATCATTCTCTCTCATCATTGATGTTTCTGTCTCTCTATCTCCCTCTCCCTTCCACTCTGAAATCAATTTTTTTTTTTAAAGTTTTGTTCCATGCACTGTCCCATTTAGTCCTCCCAACACCCCTTTGGGGTTATGATACTGTCACTCTACCCATTTCACAAAAGAAGACACATGAGGCTCAGAAATAGGAAGTCACTTAGACAAGATCACACAGCCAAGAGGCATCAAGTTCAAGTCCTGGTCCAGACCCAGGGCTTTCTGGCCCTAGAGCCCAAGCTACTGACCATCTCACATATGTTCTAATCCTTTCCTGGTTCCCAAGAGCCTCCTAACAGTCCCTTCTCTCCCTTGAGCAGCTCATCACCCTGCGGGGCTCCATCCTGGAGGATGCCACACCCACAGCCACTAAGCATGGGACCGGGCGGGGCCTACCCCTGAAGGATGCCCTGGAGTATGTCATTCCTGAGCTTAACATCCACTGCCTGCGGCTGGCTCTCAACACTCCCAAGGTGACGGAGCAGCTGCTGAAGCTCGACGAGCAAGGGGTGAGCTGGGGCCGGGTGAGGGTGTGTGGGACGGGCGCACTGGGGCACAACCAGCAGCCCCACTCCTGGTACTTTCTGTCTTGGTCACTTTTTTTTTTTTCAAACATCAGAAACCAACTTAAGCTAGTTTCAATAAAAGGAGGAATCTGTTATCAAATTCTGGGATTGCCAAGAGCAGGAATGTAACTGTGTCTCAGGAGGAAAATAGTCTAGGGATAAAGGAACCACCAGGTTCGTGTGTGTGTGTGTGTGTGTGTGTGTGTGTGCGTGCGCGCGTGTACACTCAGGTTTTCTCTCTCCCTCTGCACACTGGTACCTCTGCTACTCTGGCCCTCCCTCAGCTCTCAGAGTTGCTGTTAGAATTGTGGCCGCTTGCAGAGACCATCTCACTGATTCTCAGCCCAGGAGAGCCTCTACCTGGCTCACACTAGGTCAGGTGTTGGTCCATGGTCCAGTCACCAGCGACCTGGGGAATCAGAGATATGTTAAAAAAAAACACAACACATGGTTATTACAGGCCCACCCCCTAAAAAAACAGTGTTAACTCTACTGATCCCTGCACGCTTCAGAATTTCCTTTTGCAGAGTCTTAGCCAGCTCCTATCCATCTACTATGGGAAGCCGGCCCAGGCAACAGTCTCTTTCATGAGAGAATGGCATTGCCTTCCATAGATAGATTAAAAATCAAAGGCATGGGCACCTTGTCATGCCTCTCTGTAATGCGAGGAAGGGAGAGAAACAAGACAACTGGGACATGTCCCCATGCCTTTTTCCTTCCTCTGGCTGTGGCCCTAAATTCCTGTCACTCCAGCAATTTCCTGGGCTCAGCACCCAAGAAAGCCCCCCTTTGTTCCATCCTCTCTGACATCTCTGCCTGTCCTGCCTCCATAAAGCCGCTCTCGCCTCTGCAGCTCTGCCGGAAACACAAAGTGGGGATCCTCTACTGCAGGGCAGGCCAGAGCTCGGAGGAGGAGATGTACAACAACGAGGATGCCGGCCCCGCCTTTGAAGAGTTCCTCTCCCTGTTGGGTGAGAAGGTCTGCCTGAAGGGGTTCACCAAGTATGCTGCCCAGCTGGACGTCAAGAGTAAGTGGCCTGGTGGGGGAGCCAGTTAGATCAAGTTAGAACTGGTGAACCACCCCTGCACACCCTCCTGTTGGGCAAAAGGCCTGGTGATACTCAGATGAGGACCCTGGGCAATGGAAGCTCTGGATCTCTGCTGATGGGAGTGCAGGTAGTACTCCACTTTGAAAAACACAGCATATTCTGGTTAAGTCTGAAAATTCACCAACTTTGTCTCAGCAATTACACTGCTAGACGTGTCCTGTGAGAACTCATGCACATATGCCAGCATATGTCCTGCATACTTAAAACCGCAGAGCCCAGGACAGTGCCCAGTGTGCATGATCAGAGCTGTGGTATATTCATACAGCACCATGCTGTGTGGTGACATTGACGACAACGAACTGGGGCCACAGGCATCAGTCTGGATGAAATGCGTGACCAGCAGGTCTTAGAAATGTGGGTACTGAATGATGCCTTTTATACAGTAACTAGGGCCCTGTGCACGAAATTCGTGCATGTGTGTGGGGACCTCTGGGCAGGAGGCCAAAGCCCTGTGCCCAGCCAGGGCCTGGGAGTGGTGGCCCTGTCTCCCCCACCACTGGTCGTTTTGTTTTGTTTTTTTGTTTCTTTCTTGGTGTCAGCTCCCTCCTCCCCCCTTGCTTCTGCTGCTGGTCACCCCCTGCCCAGCTCCCTCAGTGCCTGGGAGCAGCAGTGGCCCTGTCGCTTCCGCCGCTGGTTGTTTTTATTTTCCCCTATGTCCTTTCGCCCCCTGGTGGTCAGCACATGTCATAGCAGTGGTTGAACTCCCGGTTGAAGTCCCATTCGGTCGACCGCCTGATGGGACAATTTGCATATTAAGCTTTAGTTACATAGCCTAATATGCAGTTGAGTAGGTGCCTGCGGCTGCGTCATCATCACCTTTGCCTCCTCCACTGAAGAAGGCAGTAAGAGGAAAAAGCATCTTATTGTGCCAGTTACCGGTTTTGTGGTCTTGGCTTTGCTCCTCTCTGCCTCAGTTTCCTCATCTGTAAAGTGAGAGTAATAATTGCGCTTAATTGCCCTGACCGGTTTGGCTCAGTGGATAGAGTGTCAGCCTTCGGACTGAAGGGTCCTGGGTTCGATTCCGGTCAAGGGCATGTACCTTGGTTGCGGGCACATCTCCAGTGGGGGGGTGTGCAGGAGGCGGCTGATCGATGTTTCTCTCTCATTGATGTTTCTAACTCTCTGTCCCTTACCCTTCCTCTCTCTGAAAAATCAATAAAATATATTAAAAAAAAAAATAAAATAATTGCGCTTAACTCAGGAGCACGGTATTGAACCTAATGTAGTGTGCCCTCAACTGCCAGGTACTGGACCTGTCCAACTTCCCAGAGCTCTGAAGGTGGGTATCGCCTGCAGTGTGCTGATGGGGCACACAGGACTCTTACTACCGCCTGGCACATAGGAATCCTGCAGCAAGTGTGAGCATTAGTATTGTGATTCTGTTGGTGAACTGCTGAAGAGGCAATACACTCAGAAAAAAGGAATAGGAGACTTATTATCCCCTTCGTCAGATGCCTGCTTTGAGGCTCAGCGTCCTCCACTAAGTGACGGCCATAACCTTACCCTACACTGACTTACTGTGAAGACCAGATGCCTAGCACAGTGCCTTACAGAGAATTAGCTCTCAAATAAACATCAACTGCTGCCAATAATTGCAGTGTCACCTTGGGCAAGTCACTCACTCTCTGTGCCTCAGCTTCCCCTTCTAAAGCATGGAGCCAGTAATGAGGTGTGCTTCTCCCTGGTCATAACCCCTCACGTTAGAGGTAACCAATATCCTGACTCCTATAATTATCATTGTTTTTTCCTTCATAGTTTCGCTACTTATGTGTGCATGTCTACATAATATGTTTTGCTTGTTTTGTAACATAATGTGAATGCACTCATACAGTGTGTGCTCCTTTGTGTCTGGCGTCTTTCATTCAACATTATGTTTGTAAGATTCAACCATGTGGTGACTACGACTCATTCCTTTTCATGGTTGTGTATTCTCCACAGTATGAATATACCAGTTTGTTTCTCCATTCTTTTTTTTTAATCTTTATTATTGAAAGTATTACATACGTCTCCTTTTTTCCCAATTGACCCTCTCCATGTCCCTCCATGCTGTCTCAAAGGGTAAGAGATCCTTCTTTTTTACTGCTGCAAGTATTCTGTGGTATAAATGTACCACAGCTTTTTATCCACTAATCTACTGATGGGCACTTTGGCTATTTCTACATCTTAGCTACTAGTATTATAAATTGTGCTGCTATGAACGTAGGGGTGCATACATTCTTTCTGATTGGTGCTTCAGGTTTCTCAGGATATATTCCTAGAAGTGGGATCACTGGGTCAAATGGCATTTCCATATTTAATTTTTTGAGGAAACTCCATATTGTCTTCCATAATGGCTGCACCAGTCTGCATTCCCACCAACAATGTACTAGGGTTCCCCTTTCTCCACATCCTCACCTCATTGTCATTACAATTTGCATCTCTATGATGATCAGTGACTTTCAGCATTTTTTCATATGTCTCTTGGCCATCTGTATGTCCACTTTGGAGAAATGTCTATTTAGGTCCTTTACCCTTTTTTTATTTTAATTTAAATTCTTCATTGTTGAAAGTATTACCTTTACCTGCCCGGGCTAACAGCAGACCCTGAGCAATGAATGAATGAATACTCTGACACACATTTCTGTAAAAGGGAGGGCTAAAGGACTGCCTGACTAAAGCAACCAGACAGCCCCATTCACCTGCCTCCTTAGGCTTTTATTGTAACAACAGCTTGAACTAAAATTAACTATTAGATACTATCAGCAGGGTAAGTATCCTTGAGAAGATACATGCATCTGCAGTGTCCTTTAAGCAAGGACATCTGAACGATTCCAGTAAACACCCAGGGGCTCAGGCTTGTTTGGAAAAGTCAAGGACGGGTCTGCCACCTTCGGCAAGGTCCCCTTAGAGGCCTCCGACTTTTCGGAGATTCCTCCTTACAGACTTTCCAACCAAGTCCCGTGCTTTCTCACATTTACCCATTTTTTAATTGGATTGTTTGTCTTCCTTTTCTTAAGTTGTATGAATTCCTTACATATTTTGGATATTAACCCTTTATCAGATGTATCATTGCCAAATATGTTCTCCCATATAGTGGGCTCCCTTTTCATTTTGTTGATGGTTTCTTTTGCTGTGCAGAAGCTTTTTATTTTGATGTAGTCCCATTTGTTTATTTTCTCCTTAGTTTCCTTTGCCCTGGGAGATATATCTGTAAATATATTGCTATGAGAGATGTCTGAGATTTTGCTGCCTATGGTTTCTTCTAGGATTTTTATGGTTTTCCAACTTAGGTTTAAGTCTTTTATCCATTTTGAGTTTAATTCTTGTGAATGGTGTAAGTTAGTGGCCTAGTTTCTTTTTTGTTCATTTGTTTCTTTCTTTTTTCTTTTTCTTTTTTCTTTTTTTTTTTTTTTGGCATGTATCTGTCCAATTTTCTCAACACCACTTATTGAAGAGACTGTCTTGACTCCATTGTGTGCTCTTGCCGGCTTTGGTCTATTTTTGGGGTCTCTCTTCTATTCTATTGATCTATATGTCTGTTCTTGTGCCAGTACCAGGCTGGTTTGATTATGGTGGCTTTGTAGTATACTTTGATATCTGGTATTATGATTCCTCCAACTTTGTTCTTTTTTCTCAAAATTGCTATAGCTACTCGTGGTCTTTTGGGTTCCATATAAATTTTTGGAGTATTTGTTCTAGATCTGTGAAATATGCTGTTGGTATTTTAATAGGGATTGCATTGAATCTTTAGATTGCCTTGGGTAGTATGGACATTTTAAATATGTTTATCCTCCCAATCCATGAACATGGTATAATCTTCCACTTGTTTATATCTTCTTCTATCTCTTTTTTCAACGCACTCGGAAAACGTTTCAAGTACAAGTCTTTTATCTCCTTGGTTAAGTTTATTCCCAAGTATCTTAATGTTGTTTTTGTTGCAATGTTAAATGGGATTGTTTCTTCAGTTACTAATGTTGTGGCCCCACCCCATAACAAAGAAACAGAATTTCTGGAGGATGAGGCCCAGAAATCAGGATTTTAAAAAGATTCCTAGGTGATTCTAATGTGCAGCCAAGGTTGAGAACCACTGGCCTAGAGGCTAATTGTTATTCTCAGTCTCTTAATGGGCCTCATCAACTCCACACTGTGGGGCCAGGTGGTTTCCAATAGGGTGGGTCAACTGTCTTCCCCCACACACAAAACTACTTGCATAGCAAATGTCTGGGTGAGAAAGATGACCTTCACAGCATGAGGGAATGACTCAGCACAGGAAACTGGAGTGTTTGCCTCCTGAGCTCTAAGCCCAGAGTCCCCAACCCTGGTTTCTGCTCACACAGCTCCAGTCCACTCTCCCCTCCCTCTGCTAGAGCACAAGGTGAGTGGCTGCACAGGGAATTTTGTGTGTTGGCCCTTTAAAAGGGTGCCTGCATTTCCAGCCATCTTTCCCTGGCAGTTAGCAAGCCCAGTGCTTTTCACAGCCCGATATTATGTGGGCACCTTTCCCACTTCTGGTGCTCTGAGCTGGGGAGCCTAGCTTGGGGTTTACACCCCAGAGTTCTCAGTGGCAACCCCCTCACAGCTGAAATATCTCTCCAGAACTTCAGCTGCTGTCTGTGGGAGCCCAGCCAGCCCTTTCATGACTTTGCACTTCTACCAGTCTCTATGCGGTCTCCAGTTTCCATCCTTGGTTATCAGGGTTCTCTCCAGCTAGTCTTCAGTTGATTATTCAGGAAGTTTTTCTATATTTTCGTTGTAATTCCAGTTTGCTCCTGGGAGCATGTTCAAGCAGCATCCACTTAGTCTGCCACCATTTTTTATTCCATTTATCCATTCTTTTGACTGACATTTGAAGATACTTGTACCCATCTCCCAGGGCACAGGTGTGGAGTCATCTACACTATGATCCTAAGAGAGGAAGTACTGGGTCATCCATTATGCCTACCTTCACATTCAATAGATATTGCTAAAAAAATTTTCCCAAGTCGTTATACCAACTTACATATATTTCATCTATCCAGTCACATAAAGGATTTTAGTTACTCCACATTCTCACCAACCCTGGGTACTGTCAGACTTTTACATTGTTACCAATCTGGTGGGGGTATAATGTAAGCTTTGCTTTTTATCTAAATGTATTTAGTTTTAAAGAACGCAGTCAAATTAAAAACTGACACAGATGGTATGTGGGAGATGGCAAAAACCCAGAGGTTTTGGAAACATGGTACTAACTTGTGTTTCTGTTTCAGCTGACTCCACGGGAACCCACTCCCTCTACACAACGTACCAGGACTATGAGATCATGTTCCATGTCTCCACTCTGCTCCCTTATACCCCCAACAACAGGCAGCAGGTCAGTGGGGTCCCACATAATTTCCAGCTGATACATGGCTGAACCCCAAGGTACTCTTTCCTCACGGCTGCTAGCTGGCTGCCAGCCTGGCACTGGCGGCTCTGGTGTTGTCCTGTGCAGCAGTTGGAGGCCTTTGGCCTTGGACCCTCTGCACCACAGTCCCATCACCTGGGTCAGTTGTCATTTAACGGCAGTTTTTTCTTAGCTGTTCCTTGGCCGCCCTGCTGGCCTCTGCCCCAGCTCTCCTCAAGGGCCTCTTTGGTCCTTAGGGATCCTATGAAGAAAAGAAAAAAAAGTGAATAGGTCAACATTTTCCCAAGTGGTTGTACCAACTTACATATCTATCCAGCCACATAAAGGATTTTAGTTACTCCACATTCTCACCAACTGAATGAAATGCAAACCAAGGCCCGACAGGGAAGGTAGGGGAGGTTGGGGGTAAGGGGGAGAGATCAACCAAAGGACTTAGATGCAAGCATATAGGCCTAACCAATGGACACGGACAACAGGGGGGTGAGGGCATGAGCGGGGGGATAGGGGGTAACATGGGGATAAGGACACATATGTAATATCTTAATCAATAAAAATATATATATAAAAAATTTTAAAAAAGAAAGAAATGCAAACCAAACTGGCATAAGCAAAAATGAGCTACACTATGTAACTCTCAAGTGTTGAGAGAGAACTAGCTTTATGTATGGCTAGATCCAGGGCTTAAACAATGTTAGGAATCCTTCCATTCTTGACCTTTGCTTTTCTTCATAGTGTTCTTATTTATAGGTCTTCCCAAGTATCAAAGATGCCCACTAGCAGCACTTGTATCATATCCTCATAGCATAGCCACCACAGGGGAAAGTGGTGCCTTCCAGGTGTCCCAGAGACATTTCAGCACTAAATCTCATTCGATGATTCACTTGCCAGTCCCTAGGCTTGGGGTAGGGATGGACTGAGCTGAGTGGCCCAGCCTGAAGCACATGCCCACCCCTAGAGAGAGTGATTGGGGTCTGAAAGGTGCTCTCCAAAAGGGGATTGCTGTGGCTGCCAGAAGGAGGAAGAGGTGAGGTACTGGCTGGGCAACAACAGCTAATGCCCACTGCCTGGAGGCTCCTCTCCTAGACACACCATACAGACTCAGTCCAGGAGCAGCTCTTCCTAGTTTCTAATGGAACAGAAATCCCACAGACTTTCGATGATTTGGGAAATGTATATTTTTTCCATTGGTACAAGTGACATTGTAGATATTATAGGCCAGAAATGGTCAACTCTGAGTTATTTCATAAAGTTAATGGCATGCTATAAGACGATTGGCCTTAGAGTTAGACCTGAGTGTGAGGTCTTTCTGCACCACTTCCTAGCATCATGATCTGACCTCTCTGAGCCTCAGGTTCCTCCTCTGTAAAATGGGTGGAATGATAGTACCCATGTCTCGGTTTCATTGGGAAAGGTCTCTGCAACTCTTGCATGAAACCAGAGTACAAGGCAGAGCCTGACCAGAGGGGCAGAGGAAGCGGTACCTATTCCTGGGTATTTGGGAAGCATGGGGGAGGGGTGGAAGCTTGGGTTTTATTTGTTTGTTTGTTTGTTTGTTTGTTTGTTTTTAGATTGGTTTTTAGAATTAGGCAGAACTAGACTCAAATTCTGGGTCTTTCCCTCCATGTCTGTGTGACCCAGAACAAGTCGTGTAACAATGGTGAGCCTAAGTCTTTTCATCAGTAAAAGGGGATAGGATGAGTTAATGTCTCAAAGAATTGATGTGAAGATTAAATGAGATTGCAACTTTAAGATATGGGTATAAGCCCTGGCCGGTGTTCCTCAGTGATTAGAGCGTGGTCCCCTGCACTGAAAAGTTGTGGGTTCAATTCCCAGTCAGGGAACATGCTCAGATTGCGGGTGGTTCAATCTCCAGTCAGGGTACATGCATGAGGTAACCATTCTCTCTCTCTCTCTCTCTCTCTCTCTCTCTCTCTCTCTCTCTCCCACTTTCTCTCTCTCTCTCTCTCGAGTTAATGAAAACCATATCCTCAGATGAGGATTTAAAAAAAAAAAAAAAAGATAGGGTATAAAATGCCAGCCATAGTAAATGGGTACTTTTTTATCTAGAAATTTTATTTTATTTTATCTAGTTTAAAACACACATAAAGAACTAACAATATAACAAAATGATGTGAGTCATGCTTCTAGGAGTGTCTGCATTTCATACTGTGGCTACCTCACATAGAACTACACACAGCTCTTATCTATGGATTCCTAACAGTTACACGAAGGTTAAACTTAGGTAAATAAGAACAGTGTAATTTCAGCAGATAAGTAATATACCATGAATACATCATCCCCTGTGAAGGTTACAGAGTCTCCCTTGGACTGACAAGCAGGGGAGAGAGTACAGGTCTCCCCTAAGCCTATATGAAGCTGAAGTTGCCCCAGTCTTCTCAACTCAGGTGTCCCAGGGAAGGGGCATTGGCTTGGGATCGACCCTGTGGACTGCCTCTGGTCTGCTTCTGCCATCATCCATGAGTGTGGCCTTGAGCAAATTGAAGGCTGCCAGCCCATGCTGCCCTCCAGGAGATGTTTCTTGAGTACCTACTGTGTGGTAGGCACTGCTCCCGGCACTGAGGATACAGCAGTGGGCAGCAAACAAAACAGACAAAATCCCTGTTCTCATGAAGCTGGCACATTAGTGCGAAGAGGCAGATGAGAAACAAAGGGAAGAGGGAAAAGCTACTATTTGCTAAGTGTCAATAAATATTAAATAACAGGGACAGAAGAGCAGAGATGGGCGTATTGAGGGGGTGAGATCTTGGATAATACATTCAGCAAAGGCCTCTGTGGGAGGGTGACATTTCAGCCAAGACCAGGAGGGAGCCATGTGGGGATCTGCAGGAAGAATGTTCCAGGCAAGAGGCCTTATGCAGAGGCCTTGAGGAGGAAATGTTTCTGGCATGTTTGAGGAACAGCGAGAAGCCATTGTGGCTGGAGCAGTGAGCAAGGGGGAGCGTGAACGGAGATGTCAGAGAGGTGACGGGGACAGCATGCCTGGAGCTCCCTGGGCCATTTGGGGACTTGGTCCTTGCCCTGAGTGAGCCAAGGAGGTCTCTGAGCAAGGAGGGACATGATTGACCTAGGTGTCCCGGTTCCCTCAGACTATGGGATGGGGTGGGAATAGCGAGACAGTGAGGAGACTGCTGTGATGGTCCAGACAAGATCCTGGAGCCAAGTCGAATTTTGACGCTTTCTCTCCCATTCTGTTTCCCATTTACCAGCTTCTACGGAAGAGGCACATAGGAAACGACATTGTGACCATCATCTTCCAGGAGCCGGGGGCACTGCCTTTCACCCCCAAGAACATCCGCTCACACTTTCAGCATGTCTTTATCATTATCCGAGCCCACAACCCCTGCACTGACAATGTTGGCTACAGGTATGCACCTCCCCACATGGCTCCAAGGAGCCACCCAGGGGATTGCCCCACCCCACTCCTATTTTCTTAAATCCCAAAAGCTATTTCCAGCATGCAGAGAGACAGATAGTGAGCAGTGAGATAGCTCAAGTGGGGTGCCTCCTGTATTTCATGTTTGTGCTTCAGCAGGGGAGCTCTTTCCACACCCTCCCCCACCTTGTAAGAGAATGATTCTCAGCCAGAAAGGGGCATAGTGTCCCAATTTTTATATTTTCCAGGAATTTTGAGAAAACTCACCTCTATCTGACTTAAGGCAAGAAGGCAGTTGTATATACCGGCTCACAAATAACAAGTTCAGGCCTAACTAGATCTGTTCCATTGTCCCGTACGTTGCTTTATTTGCTGGCAGCTCTGAGCACAACATCCGTCCAGCTGCAAATCCAGCAAAAAGAGAATTTGCCTTTCCCAGGAAAAGAAGCTCCAGGATTGAGGCTTGTTGACCTGGCTGGGGCTCAGGTGCCCATCCAAGAGCAAAACCACTAGCTGCACCTAGGCATCAGGTGTGTGAGGAGTAAGGTCCCAAGGGGAAGTTGGTAGAGGGAAGGATGGAGGCAGGGCAGGCAGGAACCCCCTCGGGAGGTACTGCTGAGGTTTTTGGTTTACTTATCAACAAGTAACACAGGCCTCAAACCCATTCAGTATCTTCTCCAAGCACAAGCTGTCACCCGGTCCCCAAATAAAAAGCACTCTGGATGTGGGGTGAGGATAGATTTGTGGTCCTTGGAAAACCAGCCAATCAATAGTTCAGGCCCAGGATCAGCAGTTTACCCTGGAACAGCGCTGCAAACTCTGGGGAATGGGCCAGGAAGTGATATTTCCCGTCTTTTGAAAACAATTTGAAATTCAAAAGATAGAAAAGGTAAAATTAAACAGTAAAAAGTGATCCAAGTCTCCCACCTTTGACCCCACATCAACCCAGGTGCCCTCACAGAGGCAACTCCTGGTAACATTCTGATATTTTGTGCACATACAGGCAAATGCTTATGGGTTTTTCTTTTCTACCTTTTCAATACAGAAGGTAGCATATCACACACACTGTCCTGCACCTTATATTTTTTTCACTCAATAGTCCTTGAGATCTTTCCAAACCAAAACACAAAGTGCTTTTTCATTCCTTATGACTGTGTAATATTCCATCATAGGGATGCCTGAGAATCTTCCTCCATCCCTGTCATTTGGGTTGTTTCCTGTCACCTGCTATTACAGTTCATCCTGCGATGAATAACTATTTGTACTCTTATTGTACACATGTCCAAGTATACAGCTGGAGAAATTCCTAAAAATGGAGAGACGAAGTCAAAGGATATGTCCATGGGTGCATTGGTAGCCTTGGTGGAATTGCCAGAATCTACCAGTTTCTTCTCAGCTAGTGTCTGAGAGAAGAGGGGGGTCCCAGTATGTGGCACTTGCTGTTAAGGACCATTGTGCTGGATGTGTGGCAGGGCCTCCATGCAACACAGGCCCAGGCCTGAGCCCCCCACTCCACCCCTGCCACCCCTCACCCATTTGTTTCAGCAGCAGCTGCAAGTGCCTATGCCTTGTGGCTTGAGGTCAGTCAGATGATGTCCCATGTTCCTCGGCAGTTGAAAGATAGCCCTGGTGAGGGAAGATGGAGTTGTTCTTGGCTGTGCATGGGTACATGCACACACTTGGAGGAGGAAGTTGTCCTCTCATCACACATCAGAGGCAGAGGCTGAGCAAGGTTGGGTGGTTCTTCTCCCCTTCCTCCCCACCCTAAAAAGTACAGGAAATAATACAACAGAAGCCCGTGTGCCTACAACCAGATTCAACAGATGTTAACATTCTGCCATATTTGTTTCAGCTCTCTCCTCTTTATTTTTAAGAAAGAAAATGTTAGAGATACAATCAAAGCTGCACCCTCGCTCTCCTTACCTCTTTCCCCACAGGCAGCTCCTCTCTAGACAAACCTTACCCTGTCCCCGCTGTGTTCCCAAACACGTTTCTGTCACAGCACTCATCACACTGTCAAAATGACTTAGTGATATGGCCCTTGCCTCCCTTGAAGGTAACCTTGTGTCATGTTCATCTTCATGTGTCTATCACGGCACAATGCTTGCCGTAAGTGGGCCCTTGAGACATTTTTGCTGGCTAGACAGATGTCTGGCCCTAACACTGGGGACACTGAGAAAATAGTTGTTGAATAATTGTGAATACTCTAGAAATACTTAATGAGCTACAGTGAGCAGATGACCTAGTGTCACACCATCTCCTGGTGGTGGGACAAGTTGTTCTCCTTTCCCATTTCAAGAGTGCTGTTCCCAAATAGTATACCAGCATCCCTGCAGCCTGGGAGCTGTGAAAATCCAGCCCCTCCTGTTAGAGAAGTTAGAATCCAGCTGTTCTGATTGTCCAGAAATCTTCAGCAGCTTACAGTTTCATGATTTTTAAAATCACAAATCAGGATTGTGGGAAAAGCCAAAATCTGTCACTATAAACAGCCACATGCTGAATAAAGAAGTTGCAAAGCTATTCACATCTGTAAAGCACAGTCTGAATGCACTGTTGTTTAATTAGAGAGACGGTGAGGTCATCTCATCCATCCCTCTCTGACTGGGGACAAGGCCATGCCCACAAGGTTTTCCACAGAAGAAAATCTGTGTGGCCTTTGAAGAGCCTTTCCACTGGCAAGTGCCATTTTCTGTCAAACCTGTACACACTGTATGTTGGTAGAAATCTGTTTCTTCTTGGTCTGTCTGTTCGAGATTAAATATTTAATTTACTTTAAATCTTTAAATTACTTTGATCAATATTGAGCGCCTGTGATGGTGCTGGGGAACCAACTAAGCCCAAGGTGGCACCTGCCCACATGGCCCTCCCAGGATGTGGATCAGGGTCTCTGGGCAGTGGACAGTGGAGAGCAAGGGGTCTGGCCTCATAGCAGGCATCATGCAGGAGCTCCCTCGGCTGTCTGCACTTGCTTTGGTCCCTTGCAGTCCTTGCTTCATGGGAAAGCCACAGTGATCCTTGCAGATGTCAATCTGGTTGTCTCTCATGGCTAGTGCCTGCATCTGCCAGGGACCTAGCAAGACACAAATGTCCACACTCAGGGTTTTAACTGAAGGGATTAGTGAACTGACTACTAACAGTGTGGCTAGGTTAGGGGAACATGTACAGGAAAGTGAGGCATCTAGGGACCAGCAGCAGCAGGGGGAAGTTTCTGGAAGCTAGGGAGAGCTATGGCTTTGGGAGGGGGGCTACCTGACAAAAGCTATGGCTGTGAATAAAGGACCAAGGACTATAGCTACCACCACTATCCGAGCCCTGCAGGGAGGCAGTGAAAAGAAATAAAATCTCCACCCTCTCTCTCCTCTCACCTTCCCATCACCTGCCTGTGCTTCTGTTGGCTGAATTCACCTGGAAGACAGAGGGCACAGGAACACGGGTGAAAGTGACAGTTTGTAGAAACCCACCTTCCGGGACGCTGACCAAGGTAGAGAATTGTAGGGACTGGATCTGGGGGCATAGATGGTAAATAGTCGGCCCAGATGGTTAAATACTTGCTTATTCTCATGATCAGGATGAAAAGTGCTAACATACCACCAAGGTCCTGCTTGGCCTGGCCCCTGGTAACCTTACCAGTCTCCTGCTCTTTGCTCTCTGAGCTCTGTCTCTTTCCTGGTCAGGCACATGCTGCACCCTCCCTTTAGCTCTTCCTCTGGCTCCTGCTCAGCCTTAGATCCCAGCTTCATTGTCATTTCCTCAGAGAGGCCCTCTCAGATTCCCCCTGTCCAAATCAGGTCCTTCTATTGTTCTGCCATATCCATTCCCTTTTTTGTCTTTATAAGTTAATTTGTGAGTATGTTTAATATGTCTCTCCTCCTAGATTAAAGGCTCAGGAGGGTAGGGACCACTATATCCCAATGCCCAAGGAGTGGGCATCCCAGAAATGGTTGTCAAATGAATGTTGTACTCGCCACCTTGTGTTGGGAGTCAAAACCAATAAGCTTACATGGTGTTTGGGGTTCATGGAATATGTTTTAATCAAGAATCTCATTATTTAGCCCTAGCTGGTTTGGCTCAGTGGACCGAAGGATCCCAGATTTGATTCCGGTCAAGGGCACATACCTCGGTTGCAGGCTCCTCTGCTCATGCAGGAGGCAACCAATCAATGTGTTTCTCTCACATCGATATTTCTTTGTCTTTCCTTCTCTCTTCCACTCTAAAAAATCAATGGAGCCCTGGCTGGTTTGGCTGAGTGGATGAAGCGTCGGCCTGTGGACTGAAGGCTCCCAGGTTCGAATCCCATTGGGGGCGCATGCGCGGGTTGCAGGCTCCATCCCCGGTGGGGGGTGTGCAGGAGGCAGCCAATCAATGATTCTTTCTCATCATTGAGGTTTCTATTTCTCTCTCCTCTCCCTTCCTCTCTGAGATCAATAAAAGTATTTTTTTAAAAAAATCAATGGAAAAATATCCTCAGGGGAGGATTAAAAAATACTTTTTAAAAAATCTCATTATTTAAAAAATTGTCCTACAGTAGGAAGAGAAACAGGAAATCTCTCTCTCTCTCTCTCTCTCTCTCTCTCTCTCTCTCTCTCTCTCTCTCAAAAAAAAATATAAAAAAAATTTTTTCATTTATTTCAAAGAGGGAGGGAGAGAGAGGTAGAAACATCAATAATGAGAGGGAATCATTGATAGGCTGCCTCCTGCACGCCCCACATTGGGGATCTAGCCTGCAACCCAGGCATGTGCCCTGACCAGGAATCGAACTGTGGCCTCCTTTTCAACCACTGAGCCATGCCAGCCCAGCAGGAAGTCTTTTCTAACACCATCCGCTCGAGTTGAAGTTGTTGTAGAGGCCCAGTACCGTACTCTAAGAAAAACTTACCGAACTTATTGCTCACTCATTTACAGCAACTCGTACCATTTTTTAATCGTCATATGTAAACAGTATAACTCGCGGTGACTCTGTAGCCCCTTGAAATGTCTTTCATCAAGAGTCATCCTCCCCAGTCCTGGGTGATCACTTTGGCAGATGCCACAGCTATTTGCTTGATATTAGAAATTATCTCTCTTTTAGCCACTGGTTCTTGACTCAGTTTGGTCATTAGAATGTCCAAAGATACTCATCAAATCTCCACATCCTTTCCCCCATAGAGGCTCAGGGCTGCTTCTGCCTGGAAGCCTCTGTGGATCAGGTGGGGGGAGGCTTACCTCTCCTCTGTTTCTCCACCTTGCACTTCCTCCCCCAGTCCTGCTGACTGCCATGTCTCACCTGTCCAGGGTTGGAGCGCAAGGAAAAAATGAGTCCAGGAGGTGTCACTGAGACTGATTGAAGCTGGCTGCATGCTCTCCAGGCTCCTCCAATTATAAGGATCACCTAGAAGGCCCCTAGCTGGGGGTGGAACAGGGATAATGGGGCTCCACCCAGCTTTCCCTAAACATTACCTCCCTCTCTCTATAGTTTGCATAGTGGGTGAGGAATTTTGGGGAACAGGTTTTATATCATTTCCTTTTTTCCATTCTCAGTTGCTATCTGATTTTTATCATGGTGGCATCTTGGTCAAAACTGAAGTAGGCAGGGTCCCATTCTAACTTCTTATCACAATGAATTTTCAAAATGACCTTGTTGAGATGATTTATATCACTCAGGTGTTCTACAGTAATACTGCTTAACTCACCCACCCCCCGCTTAAACTCAGTGACTCACACATTTGCAGGTGAGCTGAGGTCTAGCTGGCCTTGGCTCCAGGGCACAGGTCAGGTCTATGTCTGCTCCAAGTGGCCCTCATCCCTCTGGGACCAGTAGGCCATGTAGAGCGTACTCATCTCATGGCAGGAGCACAGGAAGCAAGCCCAGCTCCCACCCCCCTCCCCCCCGCACACACACACATATTGCATGCCTTTGCTTGACAGTCATTGGCTAATCAAGTCATGTGACCAGGCCCATGCTCAGTGGGGTAGGGGTAGACCTGTCCACAAAGGAAAGGAAGGAGTGAATTTTTGCCAGATTCTAAAGTACCCCAGTCTATATATATGTAAAATGAGAATAATTGAAGTTAAATAGTGCAGGAGAATTATTCTTTAAATATCAACAGGTATTATAACATCTACTGTATAAGAAGTAAAAAATGCATGTATGTGCCCTAAGACTTTCTAAAGTTTCCAGTCTAGTTAGCCAGCAACTAACTAATTAGAGGTAAACTTCCATTCTTAAAAAGGTGAGTTCTGTTTCTGATCGTGTATTTTCTTTCTGAAGGGGATCTCAAGTGCCTTTCTTTCTACCATCTAAATGATTTCTCCCTCTTCAGTATGGCTGTGACCCGATCCAAAGATGCTCCTCCTTTTGGTCCCCCCATCCCCAGTGGAACCACATTCCGAAAATCTGATGTCTTCAGAGACTTCTTGTTGGCCAAGGTGATTAATGCAGAGAATGCTGCACACAAGTCCGACAAGTTCCACACTATGGCCACCAGGACCCGCCAAGAGTACCTCAAGGATCTGGCAGAAAACTGTATCTCCAACACACCCATCGATTCCACTGGCAAATTCAACCTCATCTCCCTGACCTCCAAGAAGAAGGAGAAGACCAAAGCTCGGGCGGGCGCTGAGCAGCACAGCTCGGGGGCCATCGCCTGGAGGGTGGCGGCTCAGGACTATGGCCAGGGGATGGAAATCGACTGCATTTTGGGCATTTCCAACGAGTTTGTGGTTCTCCTGGACCTACACACCAAGGAGGTGGTATTCAACTGCTACTGCGGGGATGTCATTGGCTGGACCCCAGACTCCTCAACACTAAAAATCTTCTATGGGCGAGGGGACCACATCTTCCTGCGGACCACAGAGGGCTCTGTGGAGGACATAAGGGACATTGTCCAGAGACTGAAGGTAAGGTCGAGGCAGCAAGGGCTACAGCCGTTCTGTGGTTTGGCAGAGGCCTTAGGAACCACTGAAATGCCTTCCCTTGCCCTGTCAGTTAGGCCAGGACCCTAATTGGCCCCAAAAGAATCAAAATTGTCCCTTATACATAGGGGTCTACTGGTTCCTACAGCCTAAGTTTTTTCTGGGGAAGGTGTGGGTCAGGGATCTGAGATTGTCCATGTCAATACCTTGGGAGAACAAAGGCATATTTATTCACTCTAGGTCAGTAGTTCTCAACCTTCCTAATGCCACGACCCTTTAATACAGTTCCTCATGTTGTGGTGACCTCCAACCGTAAAATTATTTTCGTTGCTACTTCATAACTGTAATTTTGCTACTGTTATGAATCGTAATGTAAATATCTGATATGCAGGATGTATTTTCATTGTTACAAATTGAACATAATTAAAGCATAGTGATTAATCACAAAAATAATATGTAATTATATATGTGTTTTCTGATGGTCTTAGGCGACCCCTGTGAAAGGGTTGTTCGACCCCCAAAGGGGTCGCGACCCACAGGTTGAGAACCGCTGCTCTAGATGTTGATAGAAAACATAAATTTAAGCTTATATTAAAAATGTAAGGTTGCCGAAGCCGGTTTGGCTCAGTGGATAGAGCGTCGGCCTGTGGACTGAAAGGTCCCAGGTTCGATTCCGGTCAAGGGCATGTACCTGGGTTGCGGGCACATCCCCAGTAGGAGATGTGCAGGAGGCGGCTGATCGATGTTTCTCTCTCATCGATGTTTCTAACTCTCTATCTCTCTCCCTTCCTCTCTGTAAAAAATCAATAAAATATATTTAAAAAAAAATGTAAGGTTACCTCCCAGAAGAATTAATAGAGTGAAAAGTTTCCAGGCCATTCAAGGACAGGGCATAAGCTGGGGTTGGGGGAGGGGGTGGGGGGTGGGGAGGGAAGGGGAGAGATATCAGAAAGCATGATAAAAAAAACAAAACAGCCCAGCCTGTGTGGCTCAGTGGTTGAACGTCGACCCAGGAACCAAGAGATTCCCAGTCAGGGCACAGACCCAGGTTGCAGGCTCGATCCCCAGTAGAGGCAATGCAGGGGGCATTCTCATCATTGATGTTTCTATCCCTCTCTCCCTCTCCCTTCCTCTCTCTGAAATCAATTTTTAAAAATTCATTTTAAAAAACACTATAAAATTATATGGCAGCAATAATTCCACATCAGTAATCACAATAAATGTGAGTGATTTAACTTCTCCTATTAAAAGACAAAGATTCAGTATGGATAGAAATCTTACCCTGGTGGGCAGCTCAGACTCAGACCACTGGCCAAACCAAGGGTGACAGATTGGTTTCAAGTCAGGTAACAACTTCGTAACAACTGCTTGTAGCATTGTGCTAAGAAGTGCTCAGGTTGGCCTGGACTGGGTATCTCAATTGGTTAGAGCATTGTTCCAATGCACCAAGTTTACAGGTTCAATCCCCAGTCAGGGAATATACAAGAATCAACCAATGAATGTATAAATAAGTGGAACAACAAATCAATCTCTCTCTCCCTTTATCCCTCTCTCCCTCCCTCCTTCCCTCCCTCTCCTCTCTCTCTCTCTCTCTCCCCCCCTCCCTTTCTCTCTCTTAAATCAATAAATTTAAATTTTTAAAAAAAAGTACTCAGGCCGAAACCGGTTTGGCTCAGTGGATAGAGTGTCGGCCTGCGGACTGGAAGGTCCCAGGTTCGATTCCGGTCAGGGGCATGTACCTGGGTTGCGGGCACATCCCCAGTAGGAGATGTGCAGGAGGCAGCTGATTGATGTTTCTCTCTCTCATTGATGTTTCTAACTCTCTATCTCTCTCCCTTCCTCTCTGTAAAAAAATCAATAAAATATATTAAAAAAAAAAAAAAAAAAAAAAAAAAGTACTCAGGCCACATCTGAGGTCCATGAGAAGGAATGCTGTGGTCAGTGATTGGCTGTTAGTGAATTGAACAGAATGGCATGTCTTGGGTGCGAAATAGGGAAGGTAGCATAGCACAGGAGTTAAGAACACAGGTTCAGGAATCTGAAGACCTGCCTTCAAGTCCTGGCACTGCCACTTACCAACTGTGTGACCTTGAACCAATTTGCTTAACTGCTATGTGACTCAGTTTCTCCATCTAAAAATGGGAATGATAATCATCCTATGTCACATGGAAGTTTTAAGCATTGGATGAGTTATATTGCCTAGATAAGCTTGCTTGACTTGGTGGGCTGTGGCCTCTGGATGCCACTGTCTGCTGGCTATCTTTGCCTTTCTAGGCCTTTGCACTCTGTGATTCAGTTCAAGTTGGATTGGTAAAGCCCTACTCTCAGCTTCCCTCACTCCAAAATTCATGCTCAGGTTTAGTATTTAGATTTTCCATTGGGATATGAAGTCCATGAACCAGAGCCTCTTCTTTGCTCACTTATCTAATTTCCGTAGATAAGGGTTGGCACATAGTAGCTGTTCAATCAGTACTGATTAGTTGGTTAGTTGAAAGAGTTTATTGAACCCTGCTTCTGTGTAATCATTTTACATGCATGATTTCACAATCCTCCAACCACCCCCATGGAGTATAAGTGCTGTTCTTATACCCACTTGACAGATGAGGAAATTGAGACTCAGAGAAGTATAGATACTCACATAAGGTCATACAGCCAGTAGATGGCAGACTAGGATCTGAATCCAGGTGTTTCTGACTCCAAAATCAATTTGTGCCCTAACTCAAGACTGGTAGCCTATTGCTTACTCAGCATGTCCATTTGAGTGTCTATAAGCCCCTAAAAACATGTCCAAGAGCAAACTCCTACTTTTCCTCCCCCTGTCTCCCAGAGTTTTTCTGTCTCAGTAAAGCACAAGTTGGCACTTCATTTGTTGAGGTCAGAGCCTTGGCATCAGCCTTGCTCCCCTCTTTCTGTCACACCCACATCCAGTCTGTCAGCTCCACGTCCAGTAGGCACATCCAGCTACTCCTAGCCTTCTACAGCCTCCACCCTGGCCTTTCCTAGACTATCCAGTAGCCTCCTCACAGTCTCCCTTGCATCCATCTTTGCTGCCCTTTCATCTATTTTCAGCATGGTAGTCAGAGGTATCTGATCATGTCACTGCTGTGCTCAAAATCCTCAGCTCACTCTAGGTAAAGCCAAAGTCCTTATGGTGGCCCGTGAGGTCCTACATGAGGTCAGCCTCTCTGACCTCATCTCTCATCACTGCTCTACTCCAGGCACACAGATTTTTGATGTTTCCTCAGTGTGCTAGGCAAGCATCCAACCTCAGGGCCTTTGCACTGCCTGTGCCCTCTCACTGGAACAATTTTCTTGATCTGCACATGGCTCACTTCCTCCTCTCCTACAGGCCTTTATTTATATGTCACTTTGTCAGTGAGGCCTCGTTATCTAAAATTGTAAACCCTCTCCACCCATTGCCCCTGCTTTAATTTTCCCCATAACTTACCACCATTTGAAGTGTTTTTTTATATATGTTGTTCACCACTATCCTCAGCACCGAGTCCAGCACCTGGTATGCAGTAAACATTCAGTGAACTTGTACTGAATGCATGCATGTATACCACCCTGTAGTAAAAGCAAAAGTGAACATTTATGGAGGACTGTGTCAGACCCTGCTCAACGCCTTGCACGACTTTGCATTTCTCCCTCAAAAGAGCCTAGTAAGGGAAATACCATTGTCATCTGTGAAGTTGAGGAAACTGAGGCCCAGAGAGGTAAAGTGGCTTGCCCAGGACCCAGAGTGAGTTAAGTGCCTGAGTTCTTCCTCCCCAAATCCTGATAGCAGATTGCACATTTTACCCACATCCTTTTTTTTTTTCACCTGGTTCTTTACTTTATTTAAAATTAAATATATTGGGATAACATTGGTTAATAACATTATACAAGTTTCAATTGTATAATTCTGTAATACATTGCCTGCATATTGCATTGTATGTTCACTGCCCAAAGCCCAGTCTTCTTCTTTCACCTATTTTTTTTAATTAAATCTTTATTGTTCAGATTATTACAGTTGTTCCTCTTTTTTCCCCCATAGCTCCCCTCCACCCAGTTCCCACCCCACCCTCTGCCCTTACCCCCCCTCACTGTCCTCATCCATAGGTATACGATTTTTTTCCAGTCTCTTCCCGCACCCCCCACACCCCTTTCCTCCCGAGAATTGTCAGTTCACTCCCTTTCTATGCCCCTGATTCTATTATATTCACCAGTTTATTCTGTTCATCAGATTTTTTATTCACTTGATTTTTAGATTCACTTATTGATAGATATGTATTTATTGTTCATAATTTGTATCTTTACCTTTTTCTTCTTCTTCCTCTTCTTAAAGAATACCTTTCAGCATTTCATATAATACTGGTTTGGTGGTGATGAACTCCTTTAGCTTTTTCTTATCTGTGAAGCTCTTTATCTGACCTTCAATTCTGAATGATAGCTTTGCTGGGTAAAGTAATCTTGGTTGTAGGTTCTTGCTATTCATCACTTTGAATATTTCTTGCCACTCCCTTCTGGCCTGCATAGTTTCTGTTGAGAAATCAGCTGACAGTCATATGGGTACTCCCTTGTAGGTAACTGACTGTTTTTCTCTTGCTGCTTTTAAGATTCTCTCTTTGTCTTTTGCCCTTGGCATTTTAATTATGATGTGTCTTGGTGTGGTCCTCTTTGGATTCCTTTTGTTTGGGGTTCTCTCCACTTCCTGGACTTGTAAGTCCATTTCTTTCACCAGGTAGGGGAAGTTTTCTGTCATTATTTCTTCAAATAGGTTTTCAATGTCTTGCTCTCTCTCTTCTTCTGGCACCCCCGTAATTCGGATGTTGGTACGCTTGAAGTTGTCCCAGAGGCTCCTTACACTATCTTCATATTTTTGGATTCTTTTTTCTTTTTGCTTTTCCAGTTGGGGGTTTTTTGCTTCTTCGTATTTCAAATCTTTGACTTGATTCTTGCGATCCTCTAGTCTGCTATTGGATCTCTGTATAATATTCTTTATTTCAGTCAGTGTATGCTTAATTTCTAGTTGGTCCTTTTTCATATCCTCGAGGGTCTCACTAGACTTATTGAGGGTCTCACTAAATTTATCGGCAGTTTCTAGAAGATTCTTGAGTAACCTTATAACCGTGGTTTTGAACTCTATATCCAGTAGTTTGCTTTCCTCCATTTCTGTCATTTGTGACCTGTTTTTTTGTCTCCTCATTTTGGCTGCTTCCTTGTGTTGATAGAGTGGCTTTCTGTGCTAGGTGTCCTATAGGGCCCAGTGGCTCAGCCTCCCCAATTACCTGAGGTGAACACTCTTGGTGCACCCCTTTTGTGGGCTGTGTGCCCAGTCTTGTTGTAGTTAAGCCTTGATTGTTGTAGGTATCACTGGGAGG